AATACGTACTCAAGAAATGTTCACGATTGACTTCCGCGGTGAAGAGATAACATCGTGTAATAAAAATCAAACCCGCAAAAATATAATTTGCGTAATCACTGGTGGTAGGACCTCTTGTGAGTCCGCGCGGGTAGGTACCACCACTCCGCCTATTTCTGCCGTGAAGCAGTAATGCGTTTCGGTTTGAAGGATGGAGCAGCCGTTGTAACTATACTGAGATCTTAGAACTTATATCTCAAGGTAGGTGGCGCATTTACATCGTAAATGTCTATGGGCTCCAGTAAACTCTTAACATCAGATGGGCTGTGAGCTCATCCACCCATCTAAGCAATAAATAAAAGTTATGTGTATTATCTATGGCGGGGCAGCCCTTGTAATATACCTACAATTGACATGATCATGATTAATCGGCAGACACTGATTTCCTCTGTAGATAATTAATTGTGACTGCAACGATAGTAAAATTTGTTTATAGAACACAAAGGAAACTCCATCTCAACGTTTAGATTTAATTATTTAATTTCAATTATTTATGATTTGAGAAATATGCATTAAAACAATAACAGTCCTGCTAAAAAAACGGAAACGGCTATATAGAAACGCGTATATACCGTAAGAACGACCGTCAAAACCATTAGATCGACCCCCCAAAAACTATTTGCAAGCCTTGACTATTAGACTATTCTATCTCTCAACTATTCTGTGCAGGAAATAGGCAGAGGACCAAGCCACTTTCCTCCACTCCGCACACTTGATCGGATCCATACCGCGACATTGTGGACATTCCACGTCACACAGTTCTTCCGCAGTGTAACACGGGCGGAAATGAAACACATTTCCTACGTGCCGGGCGGCGCGGACTAACGGAAAAACTAAAAGTTTTCCGGTCACCGACCCTTGGAAACCGGGCTTCGGTTTTGTAAGAAACTGTTGATTAAGTTGCGCGCTAACTTGTGGGAACATATGTACGTAGTTTCTTAATTCGTGTTAGTTTCATTTAGATTTTTGAAGTTATACTTCTTTAGGCGCGTTATGGAAAATTGATGAGAGTGAAATTTTACGATGTGCGCGCACCGTGACACAAAAATAACAGAATGAAGTTGCCCACTAAATCGCTCATTACAATACGACCGACGTAACTTGGCGAGTCTGAATATAGCCGCAGGTGAACTTTCCGAACCGGACCGAGAATTACCGAATTTATACGATGTGAAGAAAAGGAATGTCCAATATGCGTGTTTGAGGATGTTGGTTAATCGTTTTTTTTTCAAATTGATTAAAATTTAAATAAAAAAAAAGAAATAAATTTAAAAAAATTAAATATAACTTCTTACGCGCGTACATAAGTACACGCACCCTTTTTGTATCAATGTAATAAATATGCTAATATTTAACATGCAATAAATAGAATAATAACTACTAAGCTAGGATTCTCTTTAATGTGTGCTACAAACACATACACATGCGCAGTATGAAAATGTACGACCAGATCCCGAAAAATTCAAACGCGTACAACGAGAGCCACTAGTCTATACAATAAAATATTTATTTCAACATTGACAGTCGTTGATTCAGACGCCAATCGGGAACCGATTGCAGAATCCGTGATGCAATACTGCAGGACAGCTCCTTCGCTTCTTCGCTCTTCTACGAATTATCTGGTTTTGTATCGAAATAGCGTCTTGAACGATGTAAAAGTGCTTCAAAATAACATTTTCATCCATTCAGAGAACAGTAACTATAATGAGACCTTAGAACTCATATCTCAAGGTGGGTGGCACATTTACGTTGTAGATGTCTATGGGCTCCAGTAACCACTTAACACCAGGTGAGCTGTGAGCTCGTCCACCCATCTAAGCAATAAAAAAATTAAATAAAAAAATGTACATTTTGCTTTATACTCAACTGTGTAATTAGTACGTGGACAACTGGACACGCTCCAAGACAATAACCCACAGTACAATTTTGGCAACAGCTTCCGCTCTCAATAGGAACTGTACTAGCAGATGTATGTAGACTTTTGCGACTAATTGCATCCCATTGTTCGAATTGTCAAGTCATCTGCCTTATGGTAGTTTTGCGTCACGTATGAAACGCAATAGCTGAACCACTACTACCCAAAATGAGCGCTAGGGGCTGGATGAGAGGAAATAATGATAACATGGAATGCTACTACACAAGAAGCATCATGAGGAGGTGGTATCAGTAGCATGGGAAGACATCGCTGCTTTCTTGAAATTAGGTTTCGATTTTCGCAAGTCAGAGCCGTAATTAAAACTATAATACTTTTGCAGTTAAATTTCGCGGTTTTTATTGTCATCTATATATTAATACGTGAAGCAAAAACTTGTACCCATTTTTACGCAAATTTCGCGAACGGAGGAGTATTAAATTTCCCACACTTATAGAGAAGGATAGCACAATGCAAATATATTTTTAAAATAATGCGTAAAAAATACAGTAAATCAATAAAGAAAACATTACACACCCTAACATGTATTTGACACACACACACACGCATAATATACCATTTTGTTTATTGTTATCTGTTGTTAAGTTGAGAATAGATTCAATAATGTTTGTCTTTATTAATATTTGTCTAGAGTGTAGTCTTAGCGAAATGTGATTATAGAAGTAGGTATAATAGTCTTTGATAATAGAATCATAATAGTGTACAAAGTTATAATATTAATTAATTATAGTCGAATTTCGACTACTGCGGGACCACTAGTTATAATAAATATTCTTTTTGAAGCTTCGAATACTTTATAGCTTTCTTGGTGGTGAATGACAGTCCGCAAAAGTAGTTTTAATTTGTTTTCTTCTAATCAAGCGGTTATTATACAAAATATTATACAACGTATACTTCTGTATGTCCTCCTGATCTGCAATTTTAAACTATCAAGGAGGTCAATCTCTTTTGGCTTTTAGTTTCCAAATTTCCTTCGCCTAAGATCTATCTACATATTTAATCTAGAAGAGTGCTTCAGATATTCTGAAAATGAATTCTCGTCTGAGATAAGTCTTCCTTTTGAGTTGCAAAAATTCGTCGGGTTGGAAAATTTGTTCTGAAAAAAAGCCCTGCCTTTTTGCGTGACCAATCTTTCCAAAGAAGTTTGCTAAGATCTCTACCGTCTGGGGTTATTTGGGCTTTGTAATACCTACTAGATATCTCGAGCTCAGACATATAAGAGCGAACTTAGTTTCTACAAAAAATTCAATTTGCAATTTAATTGCACGGATACTTATTTAGATTTTAGTTTTGTTCGTCAGGGTACCTTAATACTTTTTTAGATCAAAATTGATATCTAAATGTCAATGTTTTTACAAGTGTTTCACAAATTGTCTTGCCGTTCTACCACCTTTTGGAAGATACGATGAACTTAATTTATTTGGTACTAATGACGGTTGTATTGGTTCTATTTTCGCACGAACAAATTAAAACTGTATGATTCTGCTGTTATCAATTTGTTACTGACGTTCTTAAGCTATAACCTGCCGTAGCTTGCTGTGTTGACGGCTGATGTCAGAGTATCAAGAGCGCTCTGACGTATAGTTCGAGATTATCCCTCCATCTCCTTTTTACGACGGTAAAAGAGATGTAATGACCTCTCACGAAACCGGAGCGGAGTTCATAGTGATGAATGAATAAAATTATGCTATCTGAAAAATCATCATCGATAAACCTGCTGTGCTCATCGATAGTGTATCTCCACATATCTTTTTTGGTCCTGGGATGAGCTATGTTCCACGGTGTTTCGCGAGCGCTATGACATGTCCTTCTTTAAGCTCGGATTGCGGAGAGCACTGAGCAGTAGGTAACGACTTGGCTGTTCCCTATGGCATTACAAAGGACACAAAATAATATGTTGTTGAAATACCGTTTCAGAAAATCCGTGCCAGAAAAATAGGTATAGATTTCATCTACAGTAATTAAAATAGTATCTAAAAAGTGAAATGTGTGTGAGTGCTCCTATTTTCCAACAATGTTATTAATAATTTTCTCTTCGAAAATAACGCACAGTTTTCCTTTAAAGCTATTTAAAAAAGCTTTCAACCTAAAAAGAGCCTCGAAAAGTTTTATTTATATCTGAGCCAAAAATATTCAAAAGGTTTATTTAAACCAAACCAAATGTATAGAGGTAAAATAAAAAAGATTTACAGTAACGAAGCTGGAGTTTCAGGCAATTTAAATAGGTAAAAACCTCGGCTAGAAATCTGGTGGAACTGGCTCCGGTACAATGGTCACTTATCACGGCCTCCCATGAAACTGTCGCTGCGGTTGGAGAGTCTCCAACATTTAAGGATGTGAAATGAAACGAATGATCAAGTAAAGATCGTTCAGTGAGTTAATTGGAGATGTATTTTTTTCATTAGCGCATATGAATATTACATTATAGTCACAAGTAGCTACTAACTATGACCTATGACTAACACAGGGTTAAGGGTCTTTTGTATTGATCAAAGTCTTAACTACATCCAAGTATGTTTTTACGCGCGAATGCGAATTTAACAAAAAGTAGTGTATCTTCTTCTTCTATTGCTGTCTCTTGTTGAAGTTTGATAACTAAGGCTCTTTCGACTTTGGATATTGCAGCACGTAAAATCATGTACCACTGGTGTAGTCTTAATCCCTATGCTCTCAGAGCCTCTTTTCGTGTTGGATCTTCAGGTAGTTATAGAGCCTCATATTTAACGTCCCGTAAATGTTACTAAAACACTATTACAATCTTATAAATTGCTTAATGACCTCAAACTGAATACTAGAAGTATTTATTGGAACGAAGTTCCTTACGGCAGGCTTGGAGGAGATGGGGATTTTGCTGCGCGACCGAACTGAAAAAAATGTGATAGTAAAACCGTAAGAAAAAGTCCGTGGAATAAGGCCTTGTTTTCGGCACAGCGATATTTCACCGCGCGATTTTTTTTTATATGGAACTACGTTCCTATCCGGTGTCCCACGACACCACACATTTTATTTATGTTTAAAATTTGTGTGTCTATAAACTAGAATCGGTATCAGAAAATATCTTATAAGATCCAAAAGGTCTGTTGTTATGGATATTATTTGATGCTAAATACCCATATAAATTGTAATATTTATTATTTAGTCCATAAACACCAGGTAAATAATATCCATAATTAGATAAATAAACTGCTAATAATGGGTCTAGAGGCAAATGGTTGTTATACCTAGGCATTTTTATGGGCATAGATCTTGTGAGACGTCTTGATAGAGCATAATTGGGTAAATCATCATTGATGTTTATTCCATATTTTGAAAGTATGTCTTGTAGTTTAGCTGTGGTATTCCAACTCCCCTCTCTTAGGTCATTTTCAGGTTTTTCATGAATGTAATTTAATGGATTATTCATGGTTCCAACATTTTGATCAAGTTCTGTGTCTTCTGTCACCTCGTATGTTCGTTCATTAAGTATGTTTAGTTTATTAGAATCCACTTCCGCATATACTGCATTTCTATTCTTTTCAAAATGCGCTAAATTGTTTTCTTCACCGTCTGGAATTTTCTTCGGATTTCTGTCGTATCTAAACAACGTAATCGGTGATTTTTTAATACTTCCAGTCTCAGTTTTATCGTCATCATGACATCTAGATTTAGATAGATTGATCAAATAAACTAAAATGTCATTGTTGAAATCATTGGCAATGTTGAAATAGTATTTAAGTAATGCATCGCCTAGATCCTTGCAGTTGGTTCTCATGTTTCTCGACTGTCGAAGAGCAGTGCATTTGTCATCATCTATAGTATCACGGTGAACAATCCTTTTCAAGAATTCCGCTTCTTTATTGATATCACGATACGGTTTTATTTCTTCATCACCGGATTGTCCCCATTGAACATATTTTTCTGGATCAGTGATCGGTATCCAATCGTTATTGTGCTTGACGATCCCATATTCTATGCTGGCATCGACGTTGTTCAATTTGAAACTGAGATGTATCTGAAATTTTTCAATATAAAGTTACCTCATGGTTTAATCGTATTTATGACTTTATTCCTTTAGTTTATTATCCTATCCAATTAGTCATAGCCTCTAGCTCTAGTTCATGACTGTAGGTGGAATGAGATTGAAATCTTAATTGCATTGCTTAATTGAATGAATAACACATTAATATTCGTCGAAGTCGTCATGACGTCCGGTGCATTCGTGTCTAGCGATGCAACGGTGTTGGGATCACGCAGGCAGGTACGAATTTTTCCAATGAAATAGGTATGTACTTAACAAATGTTCACGATTTAATTCCACGGCGAACACTTCCATAGTGTAATAAAAATCGAACCCGCAAAATTATAATTTGCGTAATTACTGAAGGTAGGACCTCTTGTGCGCACAGGTAGGTACCACAATCCCGCCTATTTTTGCCGTGAAGCAGTAATGTGTTTCGGCTTGAAGGGTGGGGCAGCCGTTGTAACTATACTGAGACCTTAGAACTTATCTCAAGGTGGGTGGCGCATTTACGTTGTCGATGTCTATGTGTTCCGATAAGCACTTAACACCAGGTGGACTGTGAGCTCGCCACCCATCTAAGCCAAAAAAAAAATACATTCATAACATCGGTGTTTACAATTACAAAGTAAAATACATGTATATTTTAGCTGTTGTTGTCGTCATAGATACTTGAACTTTGATGAAATTGACGGTATTAATACCATCTTACGGATTGTTTCTGAAAATAATTGTTTTTTTTAAACACATCACTATGCTCACAAATTTTCTGCCCAAGCTGCTAATCTTTTACTAGAGTAAATGAGTAATCGATCAAGTAATAAGTAATGAACTTAATTTCTCCTGACAGTTAATAGAACCCATAAACACTACACCGATAATCACACCGTTAACATTGAGGCAACTAGGAAACTGAATGCATAATTGATTTATTTCAGTTTAGATCAGTCTTGAATTTAATTCTAATGCAAGATACCAATACCGTTTCATTCATATTTCCAACCGTAACGTTTCCGCTAAAATAACTCACCCATAACAAAATGCAAAGTGATTTTTTCATTTTTTCCACGGTTTTAATCTCTTGAGCACAAAAGTAAATGCTGCTAAAAATTTGGGAGGTTTATTCCTTTTCAAAACACTTCTGTCCAATCCAAAGGCTGATGAACGAATGTTTGCTAAGCATTTACTGGTTGCTGAATACATGTATTTCTCTAAAAGACGTCGTTTGCGGTCAAATAATTACGTTCCTGTTCTTTTAAAAGGTGAAAAGTTTAAGGAGAAGACCTATCGAACTCTCACTCTTGAAAAAAAATTGACTATTCAAATAATTAAAAGTTTCTCTCTCGTGAGCTTTGTTTTATTACGCTACCTACCCTATGTATCTTAGTTTTAAAAAAAAAACAAGCAAGGTCTGAAGGAATCCATCGCCCATGTCCCGGCAATGACAAAAATGTTCCTATCCGTGAACTTGGATAGAAATTATGACCGCTACAACAAAAAAAAAAAACTGAAAATGCGATTGTAAAGGCCTCAATATATTACAGTGCAAACGTTTAACTCTAAACCAACATCATATAATGAATTCCAGCTTTTCAGTCTTGAATCTAGGTAAGTGCTTCACCACTAAGAGGATCCACACTCTCATCTACTGATTATGGGCATATCGTCAGCGCACACGGCTAGGTACCATCACCCTGCTTATTTTTGCCGCGAAGCTGTCAGATAGATGGGACAACCCTTTTATACAATTAAGACTTGGCTCATGTCTAAAGATGGATTATAGTATACACGATGTGATGTCTATGAGCTCCAGTATCCACTTAACACCGGGTAGGTCACAAAAACACTTAAATCACGATAGTTGCAATTCTTGTTCTCGCCTTGTCATCTAACTCAAAATTCTCGCTACTTCGTATCCTGATTTATATCCAAAGTCTGGCATTAGAAAGAGCGGATCATGGCAAGTCGTATCCTGTAAAATGTAAATGAAATCGAACTATAAAATCTAAATATTCTTCCTATCTTTTCGTGTGAAGAGGATAACAACAAAACATCTTGTGCCTTAACACTAAACGAGTTTGTGTGGCGAGTCTCTCACCGTCTCAAACGTCTCTGTACTACGGTCGACACAGTATTGCTTTCAACAGTACACAAGTAAGTACATGTTTTTTTGCTTTTACTTTTAACTGCTGTAGTGTAGTGTATAGTGCGCTCTCGCTCTTACCCGCGTTACTTGGCAATTAAAAATGTAAATATGATTATTTGGAGCAAGGGTTCGATTTAGATTAGATGCTGTAGTGTGTATCCAGCTATGAGTCAAAAGAAAGATATTATTACTAATTTCCTGCTATCTTTAAGTAGTAAAGACAACAATTTTTAACTTCTTCCCTAAATAATTTTGCTGCTAGAGTATTGGCATGGCGTGTAGATAGCTACATAGCGTGTAAATAGTGTAAATAGCTTTTCGGTAGGCAGCGGCTTGGCTCTGCCCTTGGCATTGATGAAGTCCATGGACGACGGTAACCACTCACCATCAGGTGGGCCGTATGATCGTCTGCCTACAAGGGCAATAAAAAAATTAAAATGTGAGCCGTCACGGGACGCCTGGCAGATGTGAAACATCGACATTATTTTGTAAAAGTAATATGCAGAAAAGAACAGATTGTGATAGGAACTAATTATGTCATAATGATAAAATAAAATATTACGAAAAAATAATTTGTTTTCAAGTAAAACACAGGTTATGTGTACTGTAGTAAACAACACTGTATACACTACGGAGTATACACTATAGGTATCCGAGCTCAGTGTAGCGAGAGAGATGGCTTAACGCCGGATCGAGTGGGAGAGAATCGCACAGTCGATTGCGCATGGCGACGTGTCGCCACGGCATGCGTCGCCACGCCAGAAATCGGTTTTACGTGCGGCTATAGATGTTTCACATCAAAAAAATACACCATGTGTGCAGTTGTAGAATGGATGGAAATGATGTATGCAATGCGCAGTTAGTAGGAATATTTCAGCCGCGCGAAGAGAAAATATTAAGCCCGTCGGTCACCTGATGTTCTCCAAGTCCTCGTCCTCTCCATCTTTAGAGTTATTCGCAATACCAATCGAAGGATGCGGTATGATGCGGTGGCGAGGGACATAAGCGGTTTTTAATTTAGATTTTAATATTTTTAGTTAAATGTTGCGTGTTGCATTTAAAGAATCGGGGATACGAATGGGGCGTGTGAGTTCAAAAACTATATTATTGATATATAACTGGTGGTAGGACCTCTTGTGAGTCCGCGCGGGTAGGTACCACCTCCCTACCTATTTCTGCCGTGAAGCAGTAATGCGTTTCGGTTTGAAGGGTGGCGCAGCCGTTGTAACTATACTGAGATCTTAGAACTTATATCTCAAGGTGGGTGACGCATTTATGTGGTAGATGTCCATGGGCACCAGTAACCACTTAACACCAGGTGGGCTGTGAGCTCGTCCACCCATCTAAGCCATAAAAAAAAAAAAAACCATTTTTGAAAATCCTACGCCTTCATAGATAATTCATTCGATGCTAGAGAGGAGTTGAGCCTGTAAAGTCTAAATTAATAAATGTGCTACAGATAAGAAAACGCTCATCCAGATACATTGTAACTTGCATATTTCTGCAGCGAATACGAATTATTTTATATTGTTACTGAGAACTCAATCATAAATATTATTTTAAGCAGTGGCAGAGATTCACATTTTGGTGCTTGTGACTTCACGTGACCCCTCAACATCGAATGATCAAAACATAAAAAATATATTTTAATAGTTTCAAGAGCATAATATTAATCTGAAAATTTTTATTCAAATTGCATTTTTTTTATAAAATTTATGGCTTTTATATTTATTTATAAAAGCGCCATCTTTGGATGAACGTGAGAATTTCAAATTTAGTTTACGGTAAAAATGTCAGAAGAAATTTTGAGATCGTCTTTTGTACTAGCGTAAGATGGCGCTATAAAACTTTTACTACCAAGCGCTAATCTAATATATAAAATTCTCGTGTCACAATGTTCGTTCCCATACTCCTCCGAAACCGCTTGACCGATTCTCATGAAATTTTTTACGCATATTCAGTAAGCCTGAGAATCGGCTACTATCTATTTTTCATATCCCTAAGTGATTAGGGTTGTCCACCCCTAACATATTTTTTTTTATTTGGACTTTTTTTTTTTGTTATAATGAGGTATTATGTGGTTAAATGAGGTTTTGTTATTTTTATTATATATTCCCTCATCGTTCACAGCACTACATACCTCTTTCACTCATTTACCACATCCTTACACACTTACAATAAGTTTTTTTTTCTACACTAGAAATTCCCTAGAAATCTTATATATGGCAAAATAATGTTTGCCGGGTCAGCTAGTAAATTTGTATAATTCTTAAATCCAAAGAAAAGGAGTGGTATTTGTTGTTTGTCAATGTGGAGCTTGAGGTAGCTTCTAACACTCATTACAGCTTTTAATTCATCTACGCATTGTTATGTACTCGGAAATAAGCGTTCCATCTTTCTTCTTCTTCTATCACGTAAAAAATGATTTTGTTCTAGACCTTCGTTGCTCGAAATAAGAACCAATATTCTCGGCAGCATTGTTAAAAGTAAAACCACGGAATTATTAAAGTTTCTTGGATGGCATCTATAGCGTTTATTATTACCAGTTTGTCATTTCCAAAATTACCTACTATTACTATACTATTTTTACTGTTAAAAGTGAGACCTTAGAACTCATGTCTCCAGGTGGGTGGCGGCATTTACGTTGTAAATGTCTATGGGCTTCGGTAACCACTTAGCACCAGGTGGGCCATATGCTCGTCTATCCATCTAAACTCTAAAAAATAATAAAAAAAAACTTCACTGGTATGAAAAATTAGTTCGTTACAGATTGAAGGACAAATTGATGATAATAATAATAACAATAATAATTTATTTATCAACCTTGAAAACATTTACACATAACAGTCTGCTAAAAACTCTCCACACTAGGCACTGCCTGTCTCGTGGAGAGTTTTTTTACAGGAATATCTTAAAACTAGTTCAACATTGCTTAACTTAGCAACCGCTTTAACAAACATCATATTAATATTTAGTATAGATGTAGATATATATTTACGTCAAAAATGTCGGAAATATTATTAGCGACAAAATTAACATACTCGTTTGTAATCAAATTAGTAAATTTAATAAAATAAAATGTAGTTTGATGGATGCAGATTATAATTATTATGTTGTGCATGCATTGAGAAAGTGGTTTTGAAATTGTTGAATTTCAATGAATTAAAATTAATATTTGAGGAGTCACGAACAACATTACGAGTTTGGACGTGGCATGTGACTCATAATATAAACTATATAAATAAGTGACGACGAAAATTGTAAGTCCACATTGTATAAAGCGTTTTAGTAATTATTTTCATACAACAATTGTTTTACCTGCGCCCGGTATGATATCGCATCAACAATACAGTCACGGAGCAAAAATTCCACTATTATTGACTAAGAACGGGTTGACAAAGTTTAATTAACAAATCAAAAGTTTGTATTGTGATATCTACTTCTCTAGCCGTGACAAAACCAGACTGGAACATTAAGAACTTAATGTTCACTCGTAGGTGATTCGTTTGGATCACAACTTACAGTAGTTGTCACTTTAGACTAAGTCATTTTCATTTTAGTTGCAGAACCACAACAGGACGCTAGGTGGCGCGCTAATCGTTTCCACATATATTACAACCACAAATATTTCATTTACTAGTCTAATATATTAATTTATAAGCAGTATAGCGGATTGATTATACCACCATAAAAATACCACATCCACACAATTATCATTTACATCTCGTAAGAGTGAAAGTAAAAAAGTCGTATTTGATCGTTGATTATATTGCTAATGTGTTAGAATTATTCAATATGATATTTTAAGCCGGTTTGCATTGAGATGAATCGAAATTATTGTTAATAACTGTCAGTAGATATTTAATAAAAAGATAAAATCAATATTTTAATTTTATTTACTAATAGGGGGAGTG